AAAAAAAAAAAAAAAAAAAAAAAACCCAAAAAATCCAGAATGCTATACCCAGCAAAAATATCCTTTAGGAATGGGGAGAAACTCTGCATTAGAAGGGTATCTTATAAATATATTTAAAGAAATCCGGTATTATCATTTTTACTAACATTCCTGGTAACTGTCAATATAAGTATCTTAGGACCCTAATATAACAGTAAGAACACCATTAATTAGCACACTAACCAGCCCATTGAGAGGGTGGCTTTTAGGAACTGGTCACTTTAACAGAAACATACCGAAGTAATTGTCCTCTTCCAGTTGAAAGAGATGGTCTTGACTTCTCAAGTTTTACTCCGTGTTTTTCCTCTTGGCTATCTTTTAATAAGCTTTTGCGGCTAAAAAATAATGTTAGCTTTATTAATTACTTTATGCTGATGAATAGGAAATAAAAGATGGAAATGTATACAAATAGTCTATCATTTTCATGCACCAAATGATGTTTTCCTGACACAGAGAACGACTATGAATTCCAGCCTCATCTGACAATTGGAGATGTTCCTTTGATTCTTCAAGCACAGCCAGGCATTTTATATATTGAAAAAACATTTTGTCCAGTACTTCTTTGTACTAAGGCCAGGTCTTCACAGGCTGCTATCATGGTGAGTCCTTCCCCCTATGCCTTCTACTCTAGTTGCTGATCACCCTTGATTGTAGTTGCCCATTTTCTTATCTTCCCCACCCAACATTGCAGCAGAGCCTGCCCCTGGCTTTCCAGATATTCCCAGGCTTAGCACATACTGAGTTCTCATTAAATACTTAAGAAAATTCATGATGGAAAGAGTGAGCACATGGAAAAAAGCAGGATTTTAAAACTCACTTCCCAGTTAACAGAGCTTCCCATACATTTTTTCATTGTCACGTTCACTTTTTCAAACAGTCACAAAAGTCAAACACAAAATCAATGAGAATTAGAGGATTGAGAGTGTCTTTCCTTTCCCCAGGACTCCTTATTATTTTTTTCTTCCTGTATTTTTTTTTTTGGGGGGGGGGAGTGGCTGGCCAGTAGAGGGATCTGAAAGGCATGTATTTTTTTTGCAGTTGTTTTTTTTCAGTTTTTTGGCAGCTGGCTGATGCAGGGATCAAAACCCATGACCTTGGTGTTACAAGGCTGCGCTCTAACCAATTGATCTAACCGGCTAGCCCTCCCAGGACTCCTATCTGACAGCTATTTGAATTTTCTTCCAAAACACAATCACCCTGTTGTTCTCAGAATCCCTGCAGTTGAGGGTCCCCATGTGACCAACCAGGAGCCAGTTCTTAATCCAATCATGTGACAACATAGAATAATGAATATAGGCTGAAACTTGTGAGCTACTTGCTACATTTTAAGAAGCTCTCTAGGTGCTTCTGAGTGCTTTGGCATTTGAGTAGCACTGGCTCTCACTCTTGGCTTTGGCACATATTTACAGAGGGTTCCAAATGGAACGAGTCCTGCATTTTCATACATTCATCAAACCAATGTCCACTTCACATAGGGCTGTGAATATTTCTGAGACTAGCCTTGCTGTACTATTAAAGTTCTGTTAATAGAGAAGATACCATCTCTCTGAAGGTTTCCCTAATTACCTCCGTATAATTTTCATCATTCCAAATTCTTCCAGCACTTACTTCATCAGGGCCCTACCATTATGTTGACATTTCCTATGTGATTTTTCCATGTGTTTTATCATCTTTTTCACATGTTACTTGTCCTGAATCATCAACCTCATGAAAAGTGAGTCGTGTTCCTCCCTTCCCTTCACAGTACTCCACACACGAACCCTGTGGCTGTCAAATCTTTCCACTTGGAATAAAAAGAGGAGCAGAAAGAAACCAACTTGTACTATGGAGGGACATGTAAATACCTACTTTGTATTTTTCTACTATAAAATAAAGTTATGTGAAATATTAGGCAAATATGTGGTTATTGAAGATGTATCAGAAAACCCATCAAGCAGGGGCCGGCCCGGTGGCGCACTGCTACAGTGCGCCGCTTGGGAAGCGCGGCGGCACTCCCGCCGAG